GCATATGAGTGAGATCATGCGGTATTTGTCTTTTTGTTCCTGACTTACTTCACGTAACATGATGGTTTCCAGTTCCATCATGTTGCTAAAAATGATAGGATTTAACTTTTTTAATAGCTGAGTAGTGTTCCATTGTGTATATATAGCACAGATTTCTTTAAATCCACTCATCCGTGTATGGACATGCAGGTTGATTCCATCTCTTGGCTATTGTGAATAGTGCTGCAATGAACAGTGGAGGACAGGAGTCTGTCTGGTATGTTGATTTCTCTTCCTTTGCCTCTCTACCCACTACTGGGATAGCTCACTCATAGGGTAGGTCTATTTTTAGTTCTCTGAGGCAGCTCCATACTGTTTTCCACAGTGACTGTCCCAATTTACATTCCCGCCAGCAACATAGGACAGTTCCTTTTTCTCCATATCCTCACCAGCATTTGTTATTTTTTGTCTTCTTGATAATAAACATTCTAACTGTTATCTTTTTGTGATTTTAATGTGCATTTCCCTGATGACTAGTGACGTGGAGTATTTTTCATGTGCATGTTGGCCATTTGTAGGTCTTGTGAGAAATGTGTGTGTAGGTCCTTTGCCCATTTTTTTATTGGGGTATTCGTTTGTTTTTGCTGTTGAGTTGTTTGAGTTCCTTACATATTCTGGATATTAGCCACTTTTCTGATGTGTGTTTGGCAAATACTTTCTCCCATTCTGTAGGTTGTCTCTTCACTTTGTTGACAGTGTCCTTTGCTGTACAGAAGATTTCTACTATTACATGAATACTTGAACGCATACACATATGTTCAACAATAACACCCATTGAAGATTCCTCCCTGCAGTTTACAAAAGGTCTATGTATAGAAAATGTGAAAAATGTCAGGATTAACTTGGTCCTTGCACCATTCACAGAAAAATCAATCAGGAAACAACTGCTCAGAGTTCAACCTCCTGACACCCTGCAGCCCAGGGCTAGAAATCCTCCCCTTCCTTACCTGGTTCACATCTCGGTGGGGAGCTCGAGGCTTCCTGGGGCTTTCCTCCATCACATATTTCCAAACAGGCAGTGCTGCCGTCTGTAGAAAAGAATGAAATCCCTCAGAGGTCTCAGTAGACATCAAAGGGGAAATCACAGAGGGAAAACTCATAGAAAGATGTGGGGAGCTCAGGTATCTCCTAGGTGGGACTGTGCCTGTCCTAGACCCCCGTCTGCCCTTTGGGTTCACCTGGTCTGTAGGTGGACACGCTCCAGTCACTATCACCAAGGCCCAGAAACATCCACCAGCTCACTTTCTCCACGTCCCCCTGGTTCTTTACCCCCTCCCCATGCCTCTGCACAGCTTCTCTTTCTCTGCTGTCAGTATCTCCTCACACTTCTCTCTGTTTCGATGGGTTTCTGTCTTCTCTTGTGCTCCTGTCTTTCTCTCCTGCACCCCAGACTCTGCTTTTTAACAATTATCCCCATCTTATTTACTTCCTTCTTACTCACTTTCGGGTACTTGGCATCAGGAAAGGCATCCCTGGGCTACAGTAACACAACCAGATCACAGAACGGGATAAGGGGCAGAGCAGGCCAAGGCAACTCCACCCAGTGCAGGGAAGAGTGTGTCGCAAGACCCACACGCAGAGGAAAGCTCAGAACGTTGCAGTCCCTGAAAGTATTTATGCTGTCAGTGGAGATGAGACAGATGATACAGCCCGGGGCCCCATGGTGGGTGGAAGCCCGGAAATCCACAGGAGGAATAGCTGATTTAATCCTAGGAACAAAGGTCACCAGGTTGAAGGGGGAACTATACCATCTGATTTACTTCTCGCAAACTGCATTGGTGCTAAATGAAAGTGGAGAAAAAGAAAACAGGACGTTCATCCCTTGATTGAGAGAGTAAACTGTGGAGGAGGAGTTTCTAGTTGCAGGGAAGAAGGTGTTGGAAGTGTCCCGCTCCTGAAGGACATCTCGGTGGACAAGGCCCTGGGATAAACGTTCTCAGGCACACGGATGGATGAGCTTGGAAGACAGGTCTGCCCAGCAGACGTGCACTCGAGGGTTAGTTCCTTCCCTAGAGCAGATGACGCTGCCGAGGACAGGATGACAACTCTGTGAGTACGTGATTTGCCGCTCGCTACCTGGGGAGACCTTTCCCTGAAAACCACTATTGAGATAGACCCTTTGCTGGGAGCTGCTCTGTCTAGTGGCTCTTCCTTCAGCGCCACAGGCTCCCAGGTTCTGTCCTTTCCTCGGGCGACAGTTTTCACTCTTTACTGACTGATTATTTTTATTCACCTTTTTCTCTACATAGTTCTCTTTCGATGGAGTTTGGATGTGTTGTTCCCTCCAAAACTCATATGGAAATCTGATCCCCAATGCGGCAGTGTTGGAAACTGATTGAGTCATGGGTGCGGATCCCTCATGAATGGATTCATGCTCTCCCTGGGAGAGGGGGGATTAATGAGTCAGTTCTCGCTCTATTAGTTCCCGCGAGAGCTCGTTACTTAAAAAGACCCTGGCACCTTCTCTCTCTCTCTTGCTTACTCTCTCACCATGTGATCTGCTTGTACCCTCTGGCTGCTGCCACTTTCTGCCATTATTAGAAGCGGCCTGAAGCACGTGCCTGCTGCAGCTGTTCCAGAATCGTAAGCCAAATAAACCTCCAGCCTGCTGCAGCTGTTCCAGAATCGTAAGCCAAATAAACCTCCATTCCTTATAAATTACCCAGTCTCAGGTATTTCTGTTATAGCAACACAAAATGGACTAAAACACCTTTGCACTTCCTTCCCACGTTATTATTATTATTATTTCTATTTATTTGTCCCTCCATGTACTTTTCTCAAATTTTCATCTGTGTGTCTGATTTCTTATTGAGGTTATCCGATTTCTACTTTGTCTCTCACTTTCTCCTTTCCCATCTGTTCCTCTGGGTTGTACCTTAACCTCCTGGGTGACTGTAAAATTTACATTAGTTTACACATTTTTCTCAAAGATCTCTTCTCCCGGGTTGACAAAGTTCTTCTGTTTTCACACGGACCACAGCACCGGAGACCCTTCCCTAGCCCCGCGTATCCTAAGGGTCTCCCGCAGGCTGTTCTGAACTGCAAGCCCTCGGTCATTCACAAAACTCAGGTCATTGCCAAGACCTCATATTTGGTTTCTTTGTGCATTTAATAAAATCGCCCAGGCGCTGCTTCTTTGATGGGTCCAGCCTGCCTTTGCCTATTTTGTCTCCCTCCGTCTTCTGCACAGGGTACCATCCACTCAGGAGCTCGGGGGCCTTGGTCCTTGGTCCCTCTCACAGTTTAGCGCCAACAAAACAGAAAATGGACATCATCCCATCTGCATGTACTCGAATGTGAAGAAGAGAAACGCAGGACGGGAGGAAGGGGAGTTATTTTCTGTGCTCACTGGAAGACAGAGATTCATCGAGGTGTTGGGAGTGTGGATCATAATTCCCTTCTCCCTCCGCTGGGGGTAGACTGACCACCTTCTCTGCTTCTCCTTTGTTAGTCATTTGGAGAGTTTGGGGATCACTGGTCTCTGCAGAGAGACAAGGACATGATGAGTCGTGGGGTGCCCTGGACACCTCAGCATGCTCGTGCCATCTGCAATGGGAAACCGGGTGTCTGTTCCACATGCCAAGAGCCGCACTGTCCTGTCCTTGTCCCTCATCTGGCTGCGTTTCCTCCCTTCTCTCCACTTCTCAGGGCCTGACCTGCAGCTGCCTCCACCACTGCTGGATCCCAGCTGTGGCTCCCCCGCTGTCCGGGCTTCTCTCCCTCTGGCTTCTGGTGTCTGTTGCTTCTGTCTTTCTCTTTTTCAGTGACACTGTAGCCCTTTTCTATCATGTGTGTAGCTCTCATTCTAGATCTCTCCTATCCCAGTGGGTGGGCTCCATTCTTGTGTGCTCTGTCTCTCCGTGACTTTTCTTCCCTCCCCCCAACATTATTTTTTTACTTAAAGTCAGGCCCTGGTCCACTCCTCCAGGAACTTGCAGAACTTCCTCATTCTGCTCTGACTCGGTGACCCTGTCCTGTTTGTCCAGCTGGGCTTACACAACCATCACCCCGTGACACACCCAGGACACTGCTGCCACCTCTTCCTTTCCTACTTTGCACTTGCAGAAATTACCTGCACACAGCTCTGTGCTTTCTTTTGCCATGTGTGAAACAGAGGTGATGACAGTTTGCTGCCTATGCCTCAGGGTTCCGTGAGGGTGAAAGCA